TTTTGCATCAAAAATCTTGGACTATTTTTAAATCACTCCAACCACTTTTATACTTTGTTTCTCTCGTGTACATTTGTATTGGGAACCCTTCCCTTACTCCTTATTCTTCCCCATGTCCTTCCTTCTCTAGATTGGCGTTTTGATACGAGCGCACATATATTTCCTAGCGATTGGATCGATTTTCCCAAGGAAATATTGGGAGTTGAGATAAGGAGTCGTTGGAGAGCATTTTTTTCCAATCTTACTAAAAAAATCAAGATTGAGAGTGGGTTTTGGAAACTCTAAGAGATGCTCTTTATCTCATAGTGAAATTATGAACCAACTTATCAAAAGAATTATTTGATTATTATATAACATGTCCAAACACTTACTACAAGGGTTTGCTTTTTGATGGTTTATCATTAATCCACCAAAACCTACAGCGGGGGCTATATGCACTTCTTCCACCGTGACTATATTTGTGTATCAATCATTGCTACAATTAAGATGTGTGGCATGTATAGACTGATCTGCGTGCATTTATGTAGATGTAGATATGGAAGAATGAAACAAAACATGTGCCTTAAACAAAAGTTGTGTTGGAGTTACCATGAATTTACATTCTTGTGTCAAGTGGGAAGGTTCATGTACTTATATTTTTGGAATTAAAGGTAGTGTTACCCATTGGAAGACTACCCTAGGATAATTCTAAAAATCCACGATGAAAATTAGGGGCAAAGTGAATTCTTCCTATGTTTTGCAACACTATCTAATTATAAGCATATGGTAAAAGATGTACGATATTAATTCATTCTAAAGTATAAGTTGCTTTAGATTTGTCTTAAATCAAACCTCTTTAATTTTGATCATATATACATAAAAATTCTATAAATTTAGTCAAAATTGAGAAGTTTGACTTAACCTCGAAGTCCTCTATTTGACCACAGAAGGATACAATTCTTATTATCAAGGAGTCAAACAATTTAAATTTTGACTATAGTTATATAAAAACCTACTAAGATTCATGATACAAAATAAGTATCCCTAGATTAATTATGGAATATATTTTTTAGCTAGACACTAATAAATGCTATTTATTACAAACTTAGTCAAATTTGAATTAATTTAACTGACACAAATTCTATAGTTGCATCCTTCTGTGGATGGAGGAGATAATCAAATATTATTTTTTATGGACCGAGGGAGTAATTAAATATTATTTTTTATAGACGGAGGGAGTAACTAAATATTAATTATCTCTATTTTGAAATACTCTACATTGTTAAACTACTAGCCTTATCTAAAAGGGAACTACTAGCGCCCGGACACTCGAGGCGCTAGCGCCCGGACACTCGAGGCAGTTGCGCCTAGCCGCACCCGCCCTCCCTCCCTCGTTTCTTGCGCATGCCTCGATTTGCGCTCGTTTCCCCACGCTTGCATTGGCGCCTGACTAATACCATCACTTTGTCCCCCACAAACCACTCCCTTCGCTTTCAAACACCCCATGTCTTGCGACGAGCATGCCCCATCGCCCCGACATAAAGACACCCCCATCCGTTGACCCCCAATGCCTCCGTCCACTATCCCTCCGGCGAGCCACGCACCCCCGACCATCTGGCTTGCCCCCCCCCGGCCGAACAACATAGAAAGCTAGAATAAAACACGTGTAGCAACACGGAACAACGATGGCAACATTAGGCTCAAGCAGCTGAAACACCATGAACATATTATTGCAACAACACGGAACAATTGCTGCAACATTTGGCTGAAGCAGCTGAAACACCATGAACGTATTATTGTAACAACACGGGACAACCGCTACAACATTAGGTTGAAAGCATATGAAACAATGCTCAAATAAAAAACACTTGCAAGAACGTGGAATAACTACTGCAACATAAGACTGAAAGCAACTGAAACAATTTAGAAAGTATTATTGCAACAATTGAGTGAACCATATGAAAACATCCAAACCAGAAACGATTGCAACATCGTGTAGAAACACGTGAAACATTTTGAATAAAGTGCTTGCAACAATCCTTTGAAACACTTGCAACATATCAACAAAAGTGCAACCTGCCAGATCTACTTTTGCAATCAACCATATGATTCTACTGCAACATATCTCTAAAGCTTCTGAAATAATTGAAAGACACAATTGCAACATAGGGGGAAGATAAGAGAGCATGGCGCGAGGAGCGCCATGGCCGCCGGATCTATAGGCGTCCGGAGCTCCTTGTGGGGGAGGACGCCGGTGTGGGGGAGGGGGAGGAGGGGCGCCATCGGGGTGGGGAGGAGGGACGCTGGGGTGCGGGAAGGAGCAGTCACGGAGGAGGACACCAGGGTTAGGGAAGGAGCGGTGCGGGCGGGGGCGGCGGCGCCGAGGTGGGGGAGGAGGGACGTCGGGGTACGGGAAGGAGCCGTCGCGGAGGAGGACGCAGGGGTGAAAGCTCTAGTTTGGTTTTGATAAATTGATGAAACCCTAAGTGCTAACCTAGTTTATCAAGTGATCATGAGATAGGTAGCACACTCTAAGTGGTGAAGCAAATGAAGATCATAGCATGATGATGATGATGGCATGGTGATGATCAAGTGCTTTGACTTGGAAAGAAGAAAAAAAAAAAAAAAGCTCAAGGCAAATGTATAATTTGTAGGAGCTATTTTGTTTTGGTGATCAAGACACTTAGAGAGTGTGATCACATTTAGGTTTGATAGTCGTACTATTAAGAGTGGTGAAACTCGTATTGGAATGCGGTTATCAAAGTGCCACTGGATGCTCTAACTCATTGCATATGCATTTAGGATCTAGTGCAGTGCTAACACCCTTGAAAAATATTTGTGAAAATATGCTAACATATGTGCACAAGGTGATACACTTGGTGGTTGGCACATTTGAGCAATGGTGAAGAAGTTAGAGGTGAAGAGGAGTTAGTCTTGCTGGTCGTTGAGTGACTAGACGCTGGTCTTAGAGGGACCGGCACATCCGGTCAAGTGTGACAGTGTAGACGCCAGCGTCGGTCATCGACCGGATGCTGGGTCTTGGACTGGTCTAGCGTCTGGTCGTGTTGACCAACAACACATAATGAAGTCAACAAGTGACAAGACGCTGGCTGTGTCCGGTCAAGCATGACCGGACGCGTCCGGTCGTGAAATATCGTTTTTGGAACCTTACTGGAAACGACCGGATGCTGGAGACTCAGCGTCCGGTCAGTTTATGCGCAGCGTCCGGTCAACAGATGACCGTTGAAATCTGACGAACAGTTTTTAAAGCAAGGGACACGTGGCGTGAATCACGTGACCGGACGCTGAGGGCCAGCGTCTCAGCGTCCGGTCGATCGGACCGAAACGTCCAGTCACCCCGTGTTGTGCCTAGTGAAGGGGTACAACGGCTCTATTTCGTGGGGCTTCTATTTAAGCCCCATGGCCGGTTCAAGCTCACTCTCTTGGCCGTTTACATTGACATAGCAACATTGTGAGCTTAGCCAAAGTCCTCCCACTCATCTCCATCATTGATTCATCATCTTTGTGAGATTATGAGAGAATCCAAGTGCATTGCCTGAGTGTTTGCATCTAGAGGCACTTGGTGTTCGTGTTTCACTGTGGGATTCGCTTGTTACTCTTGGTGGTTGCCGCCACCTAGACGACTTGGAGCAGCGAGGGTCGTTGAGCGGAGGGTGGTGATTGTCTCTGGCTCCGATCGTGGTGATTGTGAGGGGTTCTTGACCTTTCCCCGGTGGAGAGCCAAAATGTACTTTAGTGGATTGCTCGTGGCTTGTGTGATCCTCATCTTGTGTTGGTTGTACGGCACCCTATTGAGGGTTTGGCGTGTGATGTTAATTAGCGCGTGAACCTCCAAGTGAGTGAATCGCCACAACGAGGAGTAGCTTGCCGGCAAGCAAGTGAACCTCGGTAAAAATCATTGTGTTCATCATTTGATTCCAAGGTGATTGGTCTCCATTGGTATTCATCCTTGTGATTGATTAGTTCACTCCTCTACACGGCGGTATAACCATCTTTCTCATTCTCTCTAAATTACCGCAAACTAGTTGTCAAGCTCTTTAGTGTAGCTAGTTATGAGAGCTTGTTGGTTTGGTTAGTGTGGCTCTTTAATTAACTTTTGAGAGCGCACTAACTTAGTATAGTGGCATAGCTATTGTGTGGATATAAATTATATAAACTAGAATTGTGGTAGGAGGCTTGCAATTTTAGTAGGCTAGCGCAACACTTGATTCGCCTCATAATTGTCTAACCCGTTTGTTAAGTGTTGTTGTAGAAATTTTTATTAGGCAATTCATTCCCCTCTAGCCATTAGGACCTTTCACGGGGTCGGGGAAGGAGCGGTGCGGGCGGGGGCGGCGCCGCACGAGCAGCTTGGGAGGGGTGCGCCGACGAGCGGCCTAGGCGGGGGCGGCACCGGTGAGCGGTTCGTTGCTACTGCGAGCGGGGGCGCACAGGCTCGGGCGGGGCGGCGCCGCGAGCGGCTCGGGAGGGAGCGGCGGCAAGCATCTCGTTGCTACCCGAGCGGGAGCGCACCGTATGGAGCGGGCGGAGCGACGTGGGGCAAGTGGATAAGGATAAGCCGTGAGCGAGTGAAGGAGAGCGAGCCACGTCCGGTGGTGAAGTGAAGGATCGGACGCCCGACATATATGATTACCATATATCTAAAAGCAGGAATATATACCCTTCGTTAATATATCAGACACATAGCGAGGTAGAAAAGGAATTGTGATAAGTTTAGGGCACATTTTCAGTAAACACAGGGAATGTTGTGCAAAATAAACAGAAGATAGAACCCTGGCACTGGCAGAAAACCACCGTATATCCCATTCCCATCTCCTGACCGGCTGACCCGTCGCCATCTACTGGTCTGCATCTGCTCAACCCATCTGTATCCCAATTCCCAAGAGCTCGAGCTCCAAGCACCCAGCGCCGGCGGCCCGGCCCAGGAACCGCCGTTCTGCTGCACCGGCGGCGGAAGAAGAGACGGATAGCGTGGGGATCTGGCTGATGCGCCGGCGGCAATGGGCATTTGGGATTCCATTCTCCCCGGCGGCGGCCGGCGCTTCATCAAGCGCAAGGACAGCGACGCCGGCGAGGCAGGTCAGGACTAAGACTCCCCAGCCCCTCGGTCCCCTACCAATTTCTTGTTGTCGTGCTTGTCATGAGGGGGCACTTATGGCATGTATTGATATGAAGTAGGTTGTTCTTGGAGATGCTGCGCCGATGTGGTTTCCTGTAATCCTGTTTCACTTGCTCCTCTTTCTTTTACTACTAATCATAGAGATCCCGGCTTTGAGTGCTGCTCTGGTGGATGGAATGTTGTGTGTCTGTGTGGAAGAGAGCATGAAATGCTTCATTTTGGCCGTTGCTTCATGGTGTGAGTGACATTGTGGTTCGGATTGTTCATAGCTTTCCGCCTTCCCCCTGCTCACAGGGAATTATGGTTTGGAGATTGCCTCCAGTGATTTCATCTTTCAGGCTAACGTTAACACATTATGATTGGCTGGTTGCTTTTCGTTTGTTGATGTGTAAATCAACCCGAGAGAACAAGCAGTTGGAAATTGGAATGCTGAAGTCCACTTGCTATCTTTTGCCCTCAGCATTGCTCAGTGTTTGTAAATCTCAGTGTTTGTTCGGTCTTGTTAAGTCCCAGTTTTTTGTTGCTTCTCCTGGTCCCCAGATCAGTTCATCACTTCATCTCTTGCGGCTGCTTTCTCAAAGTATGATGATATTGTTTCCGGTGGGTGCAAGGCAGTGCATCCTTGTCATTTTAAAGGCAAGGCTTATGAAATATGAAATTGATGGTGATAGCTTCTGGATTCCATGGTGATTTCACTTAGTTTGATTGTACATAATGATCTCTTCCTTCTTGAATGAAGATTTTTGAAAGTTTGATTGCACATGATAGCTATTTCAGCATTTATTAGCTACCTCAGGAAAAGAGTTGAGCTTGCTAATAGTTTCATGGCACAATAAATGTTGTTTAATTGAAAATCATGCTTTTAAATCATGAGAATGTTTAAATTACATTAGTTACAGAGGCAAGTAATTTTTTTTTTGGTAACAGACATATTTTGATGCCATTGAATATGTTCCATATTATGAAGTGCTTGTTAGGCCTGACTTTATGACTAGTTTTCCATTGCCCTAGTTTTAATTAAATTCTGGGTGAAAAGATTGCATTTTAAGAATGTTTTTAATGCTGATATATAGAAACATCTCATTGGAAAAAGCTGCTGCATTAAGTCTTGTCTCACACTCTCTCACTCGTACGCACCAGGTCGGGCACTAGAGGAACTGAGGGGCTCACTGTACAATGACTTTCATACTTCAGAAGGGGCCAAGCGCCAGCAGCAGAGACTTTGTGGCCCTATTGTTGCACTGACATTCAACTTTGTGGTCGCTGTTGGGATCATCATGGCAAACAAAATGGTATGGTTGACTTTCCAATCATTTTAAACTTTTCACCGTCTGTCTATTTGCATTTCTTTTATAAATGGTATGTTGTTCCTTGTAGGTGATGGGCACTGTTGGATTTAACTTCCCAGTCGCATTGTCATTAATCCATTACCTTTTCGCTTTGGCTTTAATGGCTGTTCTCAAGGCATTATACTTGCTGCCAATTGCTCCTCCTTCCAAATCCACTCCTTTCTCCTCATTATTCGCTTTAGGTGCTGTCATGTCTTTCTCCACTGGGCTTGCCAATATCAGCTTAAAGCATAACAGGTGACATGAATAATAGATTCCCTGTTTAACTGATACAAAGTGCCCTGCCTTTTCCTCAATGATTATATCTCAAAATGTACTCAGTATTGTTTGTCTTCAGTGTAGGTTTTTATCAGATGGCTAAGATAGCTGTAACTCCAACCATAGTAGTGGCAGAATTTATTCTTTTCAAGAAAAAGGTTTCCCTTCGAAAGGTAAATTTCTTAGAAATTTCATGCCTCATATACTGCTCCATTCTTCTATTGATCTACTCCCTCTGTCCCAAAATAGATGACCTTATAGCATTCAAATTTTGTCCCAAATACTTGACCTTCTCACTTTCTAATGCACCTTCGTTTCCCAATACACCTTTCTCTTTTCCAATACATCTCTATCTCTACTCCTTGAGGGGTATTTTGGTCTTTTGGCTTCAGTGTTGGTTTCTGTGAGAGATTCGAAAACGTCATCTAACATGGGACGAAGGGAGTGATTGTTATCAGAGATTTTTCAAACTGCAGTTTTAAAGAATTCAAGAAATATATCTTCTGGATGTAGGTTATCATGCTGGTTGTTGTCTCATTTGGTGTGGCCATTGCAACTGTTACTGATTTGGAGTTCAATGTTTTTGGTGCTTGTGTAGCACTAGCTTGGATTATTCCTAGTGCTGTAAACAAAATCCTGTGGTCAAATTTACAACAAAGTGGAAACTGGACAGCTCTTGCGTAAGTTGTTACTGTGTTTTATCTCTTCTGTTACAGCAAGTATTTCCTTATGTTTTATACTAACCTCCAGGTTGTCTGATCAGGTTAATGTGGAAGACAACGCCAATTACCATATTTTTCTTTATTGTTTTGATGCCATTGTTGGATCCTCCAGGCCTTTTATCTTTCAATTGGGATTTCAAGAACAGCAGCGCAATTATCATATCTGCTTTGTTCGGTTTCCTTCTTCAGTGGTCTGGTGCTTTGGCACTTGGGTGAGTCATAAAATTTGATGTTACATGACTGCCTTTGCATTTCATGGAATCACATATCTTTTTCTTTTCATCTCTCTCTCTCTCTCTCTCTCTCTCACACACACACACACACACACACACACACAGGACATAGAGATACATTTCAATGCAAAATTTCACTAGTTTTTATATTTGTGTATTTTAACTTCCATATGGTGGATATTTGTGCATATCTAATGTCTAGAAAAAAGTCCTGGTTATGCATGTCATACATATTTACTTTATAGACCAGGAGATATGAGCACATAGGAAGCTCCTTTTTCGAACCTAGAGAACCAATCTTATTGATTTTAATGTTACTATACCAAATTTGGCATCGGGTACATGAACATAATAGGATCTGTAACCTAGAGAAACAAGTAGCACACCTTTTTAATCGTTTTAACTTACAGCATTATTTTATATGCCATATTTCCATGTCCCAGTAGTACTGTGATGAAATATTGCTATTATGCCCAATCTTGAAAATAGAAATATATTAGTTCGCTTTACGTTGATAAGGCCTTTAGAATTCAACTCTCAAGAAAAACTTTATTTATCAGAAAAAACAATAATCGTATTTTTTGTCCATGTGATACCCTTTTGGTCTTGAAGGTTCACATATTTTGGGTTTCGGAAATGACAGGGTAAAGTATTTGGTCATTCATTCTCTTCTGTGGCTATCGAATTTGCAAAATTTCTGGATCTGAACCTAATTTTTCAATGTATTTTGGATGCTGCAGGGCAACCTCGGCTCTCGCTCATGTTGTGCTAGGTCAGTTCAAGACGATTGTTATAATGCTCTCTGGTTATCTGGTATTTAAATCTGATCCTGGATTCACCAGCCTCTGTGGAGCTGTCATTGCCCTCGCAGGGATGTCAGTGTATACTTACCTAGGGATGAAAGAGTCAGCCACCAGCGGTAGGAGAAATTCCTTAAATTCAAGGCAAAATTCTCATTTGATGAAGTCCAAGGTTATTGTAGATGGAGAAAAGCCAGAAACAAGGCCCATGGATTCTGTGTAAATTGAACAATTGCCGTCCTCCTGCTAGGTTTAAGAACCCCCATTGGAAGCAGCGAGGTTTGGTGAGCACACTTATGGAGAAAGCTTAACAGTTGTACTTGAAGTAGTGTTCCTTTGATTCTGCTTTCTTTAGTTCTTTGGAGTGTTATTATTCTTTAGTGGTCAAAATTGTTTTTATCGTTGACCACACATTCATTACATGTAGGAATTATCATTGATTCTAGTTTTAGGCAATTTTGGTTACTGTTCTACCCATATCCTGTCATGCTTTATTTGTCTTGTGGGTTCTGTTTCTGAGAAATTAGATGAAAGATGGCTGAAAATGGGTCCTGGTTGAATTTGACCTTGTGCATTGCCAACATGTTCAGATTCTAGTTTTAGTTTGTAGTATGCTCATGACATTTGCTCTTCTGAAATCTCACACTTAAAAAGACTTTGGGTTCAGCAATCGTTCATAAAAGGAAAGAACGCACCCATAGGCATGAAAAAGGCGCATGCTATCACGACTCACGAGGAAGATGTAATGTGAAAAATAGGGAATGTACAAGCATGTCAAAGCATAGCAAGAGAGGACAAATAAAGAGTCAACTCAAAGCTCAGATCCTGAAAAAAATCTCAGCAGTCCGCGGAATTACTGAGTTGCATGAATCAGCAACGGAGCAAGCAGCAATTACTGAATTGCATGAATCAGGCAACGGAGCAAGCAGCAAGCTTTGGCACGTTTGAAGCTCCCCCAATTTATGATTCTGCACAAATATAAAACTATGCATTTCTGAAACAAAGGGCAAAGATTCAGAATCAAAGTTTACATGAACAATTTGCTCAACGTCATGTTGAACTGTTTGCTGGGTTTCGGCTATTGGAACAACCAGCACTGGCCTAGCTTACAAATAGATAATTGAGAAAATTTTTATTTGGTCCTAGTTTAAAGTTGTCTTTTTTCCTTGGCCCTGAAACAAAATTTGTCACCCATTTGGCCTCACTTAAGTTTCGTTTTCTAATATGACCTTACCGTCATCTCCTGTTTTTAACACTGTTAAGTAGCACATGAAATGACAAAACTGCCCCTGAGACATTTAGAACTCTAGTTCTTTCAGTATAAAGAGAGAACCATTTGTCCTTAATTATCTCAAATAACAATGCCTGCCTTCAAACACTAGGACTTTGAAGATAGAGCTACAGATGAAGGAAACCATTTATACCTTCAATTGCTTCCCTGGGAGTCTTGAAGCCAAGGCCAATGCTCTTCCAGAATCGGTTGCCTCCTTTGCCTGGCTTCTTACCCTTGTCAGATTTCTTTGAGCTATAAAATTAAGAAGAAATGTACTGTCATGAAATGCATATGGCTCATGGAGAATAGAAAGCATGGAAGAAGCAAGAAACTCTCACATGAGGAAAACCTTAGGCTGCTTGAGGAAAGCCTTCTCAGTCTAGAAACGGGATATAGATAGAAAACATTAGAACAACTTTGCAACTAGCTGGAAACTGATGGAATTGCTTATACACAAGAACAAACAAAAAACTTGGCAAATCCCTGACTACTGTAGTAAGTGCTGTGCTCTGAAATAATCAGAGTGACGATACTTACTGCTATAAATGCATCACATCAAAATGGGATCCCCATCAAAATATACTAAATGATGTCAACTTGATCATAGCACACAATTTAAACAAGTTCATCATCCTAAAAATTCAAAAGGGGCACAAAGCACATAGTTCAACATAGTGTTCGACACATACATCATTTTCACACATCAGTTTCACAGTGCACTAGTTCGACGCATACATCAAGTTCATATTAAAAGCGTCATTGCAGGCACATGAAAGTCACAAACTGAGCCTCCTTTTACTTCTTGTGCTCATTGCAGGGCTAACATGATTACATATTTTGCTTCTTGTGCCCATCGCAGGGCTATCAAATATCAGTGGCTTTATGGCAATGTCTTTAGCTATATTCTTCCGCTTTGTCTTTGTCTTAGCCTTGGCCTTCACAGTTTTAGATGTTGGTGCTGCACCACTTGTAAGCTCCGTAGATGGTTCAGGTTGATTTGAGCTTTTTTTTGGACCTATAAAAATGCATGTAATGGGGCATTCATTTTAGTTAAACTTGGAGAGATATACTGTATAGAACTAACAACTTATTGATTAATCTCTAAAAACTATGACAAAATCAAATCTGCTCATAAGCCATTTTTTATGTGAATTTCCATGCATTTGATAAGAAACATGTTCTCATTGTGTACAAAATTGACATCTTAGTAAATCAGCAAGAACATGTTGTTTGTCATTTTTGCCTGCTCACTGCATTTCGCTTTCCGGAGAAAAGTTGGCTTGGGAGTGGCAGCTGGGCTTGTTAGGTTCTACTGTGTACTTGATCAACTTGTTTTGCATTTTATTAGGTAATAATTCATCTATATGTGCTTTTTCAGCCATATCCTTACTTAGCCAATTGACCTGTTGTAGTGAGTCTTGCTATGTGCTACAGATGTTTCCAAAGGGGTATGTATCTCTAGCATGTTGTAGCCTGTAGTTCACTAAATTGTCGTGCCACCAGGCACCAAGCCAGCATGGCAATTAATCGCTAAATCATGTATATGGCTCGGCAATTAATCGCTAAATAAATCATGTATATGGCAAGCTGTAAGGTGGCCAATCGGTGATTGTTAACTCACCCTTTAAGCCAATCTGCTTGTACTGCAGATGCACCACCTCCTCCAATGTCTAGGTCCTCGTCTGCACCTCCGTCGGCCTCCATTCAACCCGTGCTGGCGTCGAATAGCTCACTACCAAATAGCTCACTATCAATCAGATTATCAGAACTACTATATGAAATGAACAACCCAAATTAACGGGAAGACAAGTGATACATCATGACCTTGTAAATCGGAGATCGAACAAATAAACAACGGACGAAAAAGCGAGTTCGGAAATTATAGGCCGGAAATTCCGAAGCCTTCAACCAGAAATTCCAGCCCGAAGCACAACAGCAGCACGTCGGTCACCTTGAAGCTAAGACCGAATCACTGGATGAGATTGGAGTCCATGTGCTGTACAGGAACGAGAAATCCTCTCGGGAGTCTGACACCTGTGGCTCAACCGGTTTCACAGAAAACAAGCAGAGGGAGAGGAGAGACTGAACAGAGATGGACCAAGCAGCTGGGGCAACGGACCAGCTCCTCCTGGAGTCCAAATCTCACGGAACCAAAAACGCACGGAGGGAGAGAGAGAGGTTACGGCCACGAACAGCAAGGAGAAAGGCCACGCACGACCTTGGCAAGCTGCGCTTGCAAGAACAATGAAGACCACGACCGGCCACGGTGAGCTGTTCCCTGCAGAGCGGACGAGCAGGCCACCTGGGCCTCATGGGCAGGCACTGCTCGGACTGGATTCGCACAAATCAAGGAACGCTCCTGCTACTGGACCGGCGTGGGGCTGCGCGACGCCGAGCCGGCCTGCAGCGATGCGGCTGCGAGGGACGCGGGCAGGAGCTGCACTGTCACGATCAACACCGTACGGGAGCGCCGACCTGGAGACCGAGCACGAAGAATAGAACGCTACGAACAGCAAGAGGCGCGAGCGAAAAATCGAAGCAATCTCTACCAAAACACCATGATTCGTTCCCAAATTTTGCACAAATGAAATTCAGCTTGGTACAAACCTATCCCTAACTTGTAAATTTAGAAGCGCATGATTCACACACAAATCAGGAGCACTTGAACAAGCAGTAACAAATCACTACCAAAGTTGAAACTTTTGCACCCTATCCGACATGAGAACCAAGTAACAAGCACAGACTTTCTGAACGAATCTGCTGAGAAGCAGAGAGACATGGAAGGGGAGGGAGGGAGCAAGGAAGGAGACGGACCAATTCCAAAGGCCGATGTGGAAGGGGAGTGACTTGCGGTAGGTGTAGCAGGGGGAGCTGCGTCGACGCCATTGCATTGCGCGAGCTTGCGAGGCGCAGCCTCAGCCCAGCCCAAGCCAGCGCCACAGTGCGCCATGAGCCAGCCAGCCACTGCACGCCCGCGACCACGGCCAAGCCACAAGCCCTTGCCTCCGCCTCGCCCAACCACTTGCTGTCGAGCTCTGCAGCATACAGCACCGCCGCCCACAGATACCTAGGGTTAAGGTTTGTTTGTGTTTCAGAAGAAGAGAGCGGGCTCGGAGGGACAGAGACGACCGAGAGCGAGATAGAAGAGAAAGGAGAGACACGGGGGTATTTATGTCTATTCAATAAAAACTGACAACTCAATGACAACAAACTTGGACAGATCTCACGGTAAGGTCATATTAGAAAACGAAACTTCAAGTGAGGCCAAATAGATAAGAAATTTTGTTTCAGGGTCAAGGAAGAAAGACAACTTTAAACCAGGGCCAAATAAGAAATTTTCTCTAATTGATTCCGTCCGTCCAAATGTTCATGTCAACGCCAAACGACAACATATTTAAGTGAGATTCACAAGACTTAATACCGAACCCGAGAAAGTTTAAACCGATAACGAAGTACTTGAAGTTAACACTCATGGATGAATTCATCTTATAGCTTATAATAGCGAGTGCATGAAAAGATTACAACACTTTAACCTTATAAACAAGTGGGAAAAAACAAATCTTGATTTTAACGTACATATCAATTAACAGCCTGTTCGTTTGGCTGTGGCTTGTCGTAAACGATCGTAAATTTCCAGCCGGAACAATATTTTTCTCTCACACAAACCAGCTAGCAGTACTTCTTCACGAACCAGCAACGATATGAACCAACCAACCGAACAGGCTGTAAATAATTTATGTAATAAGAATACAGACATACAGCTAGGGTTGTCTCTCATGGTTCCTCTGAAGATGGCTGATGATTCGGAGGTTCAGTTTCAATGAGTGCCCACATCTTCTTCAGACATGGAATCCAGTGTGCTCCAGTCTTCTTCACGAGCCGTGCCATTTTATCGAAGGACAGCAGGATGTGAATGACGATGTACATAAAAACAGCAATGACGAGTGCGA